AATTCTCTAAGCTCTTAGAAGAAAACCTGTGTACTTCCCCATCTCAATTACCAGGCAAAACAATTCGTGAATCTAACTCAATTGTCCTACAGTGTTTTTTGAGACAGGGCTTCACTCTGTCACCCAGGCTGCAGTGCAGTGACATGACAACAGCTCAATGCAGCCTCAACCTCCCAGGCTCAAGTGATCTTCCTGACTCAGCCTTCCAAGTAGCTGGGACTAGAGGCGAGCACCAACACACCTGGGTGATTATGTTTTGTAGAGACAGGGTCCCACTATGTTGCCCAGGCTGGTCTCGAACCCCCTACACTCAAGCAATCCTCCCACCTCAGCCTCCCAAAGTACAGGGATTACAGGCATGAAACAGAGCAACCAGCCTTGTCCTACAGTTTCAGATTTGCTCTCTCCCTTTACGACAACTCCGTGGATTGTGGCCCAAACATATTGACTTTTTTTTTTTTAATTTCTAACAGACTCATGAAATGTTTTAACTGGCACTCACAAACAGAATTAGCAGGAAAGTAAATGCTATCACTGTGTTCACACCATATGCCAGAATAAACTCAACGAAGGCAGGATTCTGTCTACCTTGCTTGGCTATATCCCCATTACCTAGCACCTGTGAGATATTTAGTAAATATGTGCAAAATGAATAAAATCATAACAAAATCATGGAAAAATATCATGGTCCCAAAATTGCAGTAGTATCAGAATTGTGTTAAATCATGCACTGCTTAAAAGAAAGTAGATTGCCTGCTGAAACTGAGGAACTTTCTAAACCATGCTCTTTGTAACAGAATTTAACCCATACTGGAAAGTGAGACAAAACAAAAAACTGACAATTCCAAGTGAGACTTACAATGATGAGGTTTTATAGCAAAGAAAAAGATAAGTTGCATTTTTGTAAGATTAATGACGTTCCTCTCTCTATCCCAACACCCTGATCAATGAAAACTACAGACTTTTAGGAGCAGAAGAAAACATAGAGGCTAAACCATGAAACAGATGGGCTCCAGTTTCAGAGTAATATAAACTGCCACCAATCTATTCAACATTTTTTTGCATAATCACAAACCTAAGATGGCATTTTATGAATATTAATTTGTTCTACTTTTTTGGCTATGCTGATGAACAGTCTGCTGCGGGTTGGAGAAGAGTTATAACTGATGACTATCATAATCTCTCATTTTTATGACTTTCATTTACCAAAATTGGGTGAGCAAAGATTTAATTTTATCAGTGCCAAAAGTTCCTCTTTCCTGTTTTCAAATCAGTTCAACCTACGGTTTTACTATTCTCTCATGCTATTCTTAGACTACATGTTAGTTTGCTGTATTTCATTTCTATTATTGATTTATATGTGTTAACTGTAGCCAAGTCTTATCTTCTCAAAGATTTAGTAGGTTTACCCTTCCAAAGTGCTCCCCTACCACACCATTAATAGCAATGTTTAATAATTCCCTTGTCATCTATCTCCCAACTCAACTATCACTACTATTAGGATAGAGGTGGGCTGAGCACGGTGGCTCAGGTGTGTAATCCCAGCACTCTCTGAGGCCGAGGTGGGTGGATCACCAGAGGTCAGGAGTTGGAGACCAGCCTGACCAACATAATGAAATCTCCTCTCTACTAAAAATGCAAAATTAGCCAGGCACGGTGGCACTTGCCTGCAATCCCAGCTACCTGGGAGGCTGAGGCAGGAGAATTACTTGAACCCAGGAGGTGGAGGTTGCAGTGAGGCGAGATCCGGCCACTGCACGCCAGCCTGGGCAACAGAGCGAAATTCTGGTCTCAAAAAAAATAAATATTAGGCTGGAGTTGGTTCTGCCTTGTTGGACACTACAGGATAGTGTAAATAATCGTCTAAATAAGTATTACAATGAATGAATGAATAAATAATTTGGAGGGCAATGGCCTTATCATATGTTTCCTCTACTAGCTAAGCAGGCAATAGTTGAAAACACACCATAGTTCCTATCCAGCTCTGTGAAAACTCGAACGTACTTTACTGCTCAACTGAAAGTTTGCAAATAAATTTAAGAACAGACATCGTACCTGAAACGCACAGGGAAAGTGCTATAAAACCGTTTATTAGAAGGCTACAGAAAGAATTACAGAAGGCCAGGCGCCGTAGAGCTCAGGCCTGTAATCCTAGCACTTTGGGAGGCCATGGCAGACAGATTGCCTGAGGTCAGAAGTTTGAGACCAGCCTGGGCAACATGGTGAAACCCCATCTCTACTAAAAATGCAAAAAATGAGCCGGGCGTGGTGGTGCATGCCTGTAATCCCAGCTACTCCAGAGACTGAGGCGGGAGAATCGCTTGAACCCAGGAGGTAGAGGTTGCAGTTAGAGGAGATAGCGCCACTGCACTCCAGCCTGGGCGACTAAGCGAGCCTCTGTCTAAAAAGAAAAAAAAAGGAATTACAGAAAATTATGTAGGATGAGTTTCCAGTATTCCATCACTGAATGATCTTCCAACAACCACTGCTAAATGACTTCACTATCTGGAGACTGAGTTTTCCTTTATGTTGGAGAACTTATAAATGAACATACTGAACTAATGAATGACTACTTGACATAACCTTGACAATAATCCTAAAAGTTAAAAGGGAAAGCCGACAGGAAGTTTAAAGATAACTCTTGAAGAAAAACACATGAGAAGCAATTTTCCTGTTAGCTGTGAAAGACGAGACAATTTTCCTTGCAACCTTCCCGCCTCTGCTGGTCGCACAGTAAAAATTAGAAGTAGGAAAATTTAGAATACTTCCATCTCCTTTGAGTCACGAACTTGGAAAGGAGAAAGAACTGTGGGGACGCAAGTGCTCTAATGAAAGCAGGAAGTCCGCTTCTTCAAGCATGAGCCACTCACCCATCATCACAACACCGGCCTTAAGTCCATCCTCACTCCCTAACCATAAAGCCAAAGCCAGTCTCGGCAGGAAACGCGATTTTGCTAGCTGAGTTAGAGGAGCACCAGACAGCTCAGGACACCCTCCTCCTTCTACTTGGCCAGCGGCAGGAGGTTACTCCCCGAGTTCCAGCCAGAGGAGGCAGACCCGGCAGGCAACCAAGAAACAGCCTAGGTCGCGAAGGAGGGCGGCCAGTCCACGCGGCCGGAGAATTCACCGAACAAAGCGCACCGCGGAGAGGGAGGGGACACTCGGAAAGAGGGGGAAAGATTCAACTAGCTCTTCACCACTGCCTGGGGCTACAGACAGGTGGAGCCGCGGTCCTCCTTAGAAGAAGAAGAAAGGTTTTTCGAGGTGCTAATCTGAAACTCCTGCGCCAACCGGAACCGGGATCCCGGCTGGGGAGCGCGCTGAGAAACGGGAGGCGAGCGCTGCGGGAAGGAAGGGAGGGATGGATGGATGGTCGGGGTCACACACGGCCTCTGCGGGGATGTCGGTGTCCCGCCTGAGCCACGCCGAGGATGCCCGCGGCGCGCCGCCCGCCGCCCCGACTCGGGCCTCCCCGGCGCAGCCGCCCGCCCCTTCGCACCCGCGCCCCAGGCCGCCACACAAAGGGGACGGGAGGCGCGCCGGCCGCCGGGAGGTGGAGGGGGCGCCGGGCCTGGGACTAGGTGGCCGAGCCGCGACGCCAGCCGCGCCCCCCGCCTTTGTCTGCCTCGCCCCGCGCCCTCCCCCTGCCCGCCGAGGAGTCCCGCCGCCGCGGCGCCCTCACCCTGCTCGTTACCCGGGTGAGTAGCGGTCTCATCTGCTCGCCGGCCCCATCTGCCTCCATGGCCCGCCAGCCAGCCAGCCCGTGGCGGCCGCTACGGTGCTGCCCCGCGCGGTCCGCCTGCTCCCGCCGCTGTCGCCGCCGCCGCTGAACCCCGGCGCGCGAGGAGAAACGAGCGTGCGTCCGTGCGCGAGGTATGCGCGCGTGGGGAGAGCGGGGCGCGGGAGACGCGGGGTGCGCGTGTGCGCGCTGCGGCCGCTGGGCCGGCTCTCGCACGGGAGCGAGGCCGCGGCGTGGAACCTGGAGCGAAAACTGAGCGAACGGGAGGACCGAGCGGGAAGGAGAAGCGAGCCGCGTAGGAGGAGGGGCTCGGGGGCGGGGCCGCAAGCCGTGACGCGCGCGGCTCCGGGGCCCGGGAAGACACGCCCCCCCGCCCCGCCTCCTCGGGTCACGCCCCCTTGCCAGTCTGGCACCGCCAGCCTCCTCCGCGCGCCCGCAGGCCGCGCCGCGAGGCCACCCGGAGATGGGGCGGGAGGGAGGCGGGACGGACATTTGCCCCAGCCAATCGGCAGCTGGCAGACTTCCGCCCCCCCCCTCCCCTGTGCTACCTCCCCTAGACGCCCCGCCCCTCTTTGTATAAGCTTAATTGACCGAAGCTGAGGGTCTAGCTAGTTTTTCAAGTGGGAAGCTCCCCTGAGGTCACCACCTACCTTCCTTGGCTCCTAACTACACTCTCGAGAGACCGCAGGGCAGGAGGACGCCACCTCTCTCAAAGACGCCCAGAATAACCTCCTAAGCAACTAATGGGTCTTCAGGACTCCCGAAAGTTTCTTTTCTCTCAGTCCAGTAGGGATGAACCCCAACTCGGGGACTGTGGAAGAGGGGGTACACTTGACCAGGTGTCCTCATGTGCTTGCTCGCCCACTGGGCACCAAGACAGCTGCCACATTTTTTTTTTTTTTCTTTTTTTGAGACGGAGTCTTTGTTGCCCAGGCTGGAGTGCAATGGTGCGAGCTCGACTCACTGCAACCGCTTCCTGGGTTCAAGCAATGCTCCTGCCTCAGCCTCCCCAGCAGCTGAGACTACAGGCATGCGCCACCACGCCAGGCTCCTTTTTGTATTTTTAGTAGAGACGGGGTTTCACCATGTTGGCTAGGCTGGCCTTGAACTCCGGCGCTCAGGTGATCCACCCGCCACAGCCTCCCAAAGTACTGGGATTACAGGCGTGAGCCACCACGCGGGCCAGCTGCCACGTTCTTGAGTTCCTCCAATAGAGCATCTGTCAAATATCCCATCTGTAACTGGAGATGATTACAATACCTGCCACACAGGCTCATTGAAGGATTAAGGGGATTTCTATTCATAAAAGTGCCTGGCACACAGCATGCTGATAATTGTCATTATTTTTAACAGGTTTCTCTTGAGTGTTTAATAAAGATAAGGAAAAGTTTCGTTGGGAAGAACTGAAGTCGTGCAAAGGAAGCATATATAAATACATCAGCGGATCCAGAGCGCACATCCTATTCATCGCCGACAGGGTATTAGTAAACTTTTTTGTCAGCAATAGGTAGCCAGGTATGCTCGATGACTCATTCCTTGTTTGGGCCCTAGTCCTCTTTTGTCCTAAATTTTCCAGAGAGTTACTTCTAGTCCAGCACACATTGTTCACTTACTTGTACAAGAGCAGATGTGCCTCTATTAATAGCTACTATGTAAAGAGGCCTGCAATTAAAGACTGTGACATTTGGCAAACGTATTTCATCTCAATAATCCTCACAATACTACAAAATATCCACCGTCCTCTTTTTCTTCAGAGAGGTGGCAGAGATGCAGAGACCCTCACGCACAAGACCATCACCCTTGAGGTTGAGCCCAGTGACACCATTGAGAATGTCAAAGACAAGGATGGTCTCCCACCTGACCAGCAGCATCTGATATTTGCTGGCAAACAGCTGGAGGATGGCCACGCTCTCTCAGACTATAACATCCAGAAAGAGTCCAGCCTGCACCTGGTGCTGCGCCTTCAAGGTGGCATTATTGAGCCTTCCCTCCACCAGCTCGCCCAGAAATGCAACTGTGACAAGATGATCTGCCACAAGTGCTATATTTGCCTGCACCCCCGTGCTGTCAACTTCCACAAGAAGTACGGCCATATCAATAACCTGTGCACCCAGAAGAAGCTCAAATAATGCTCTTCCAAGCTGGGTGCAGTGGTTCACACCTATAATCCCAGCACTTTGGGAAGCTGAGGCAGGTGGATCACCTGAGGTCGAGAGTTCAAAACCAACCTGACCAACATGGAAAAACCCCTGTGTCTACTAAAACTACAAAATTAGCCAGGCATGGTGGTGCATGCCTGTAATCTCAGCTATTCCGGAGGCTGAGGCAAGAGAATCGCTTGAACCCAGGAGGCTGAGGTTGTGGTGAGCCGAGATTATGCAATTGCACTCCAGCCTGGGCAACAAGAGCAAAACTTCTCAAAAAAAAAAGAATAATAATAAAATAATTTTTTAAATAACGCTTTCTTCCTCAAAGGGCAGCCTCCTGCCCAGGCCCATGGCCCTAGAGCCTCAATAAAGTGTCCCTTTCATTGACTAGAGCAGCAAAAAAAAAAAAAAAAAAAGCTACAAAATATATTATAGCTCCATTTTACAGATGAGGAAGCTGAGGCTTACAGAGATAACTGGTTTTAAGTTCTGGTGAGTGGAACTGCTCTTACTATGGCACCATTCTAATACCTCAATAAAGAAAGGTGAATGGTAAGGAAGGAAAAAAAAGGATGAAATGAGAATAAAAAGGAAGAATATGGAGAGTGAGGAAATGGGGGGGAATACCTCCTAAAGCAGCTTAAGGCATCAATCATTGTGCCCATACCATTTTCTAATTTGGTATTATTTTGAATAATTTTCTCTAGGCTCTCTTACAATGTAGTCCCCTCCCATAAAACTGTAATTATTGTATACAATATTTACAATTGTATACAATATTATATACAATTATTACATAACTGTAATTATTATAATTATTGTATCTGTTCCCTTTTCCCTGCTTTATTTTTCTATATCACACTTATCCCCTTATAACATTCTTTTTTTTTTTTTTGACATATAGTTTCGCTCTTGTTGTCCAGGCTAAAATTCAATGGTTCAATCTCAGCTCACTGAAACCTCCTCCTCCCAGGTTCAAGCGATTCTCCTGCCTCAGCCTCCTGAGTGTCTGGGATTACAGGCACCCACCACCACACCCACCTAATTTTTTTTGTATTTTTATTAGAGATGGGTGGGTTTCACCATGTTGGCCAGGCTGGTCTTGAACTCTTGACCTCAGGTGATCCACCCACCTTGGCCTCCAAAAGTGCTGAAATTACAGATGTGAGCCATTGCATCCAGGTATAACAGTCTATATATTTTATGACTTATTATGCTTATTGTCTACACACACACACATACACACACACACACACACACACACACACACACACACACTAATGTGAGCTCCATGTAAGCTTCCTGTGTATGGCAAATTTGTCTGGTTTTTGGTTTTTGGTTTTTTCTCTGATAGCCCTGTGCCTACATGAGAGTTTGGCCCCTGTAAACTCTCAGCATATGTGTTAAATGAGTAAAGGTACAGGTGGGGCAATACATCTGTTCCTAAGACATAAGAGCATCTTAGGTGACAACTGAGGATGTGGCTGTGGTAACAAAAACAAAGTAGGAGCCAAAGACCATGGTGTCAGAGTTGAAAGTGTTAAATAGTCAACTTCATGAAGGTCTTAAAAATATATGCTTGGCAGACCTTGCTAAACAATGAATTTCTATTCATCCATCTCACAAAAAGAAAAGACTATTGGTTTATTTAATCCACAAATATTTTTTTTAGTGACGTCTTTGTTGCCATGCACTTTTTCCATTCCTCTTTTCATCCCAACTGCTGGAAGAAGAATGTAGCAAAGATCTGAATTACACAATTTATCCCTCTCCGTTGCCCACTTAGTTCAAGCTCAGCCAAAGTTCATTCAAGAAGATTGTGGTTAAAATTGCTTTCGTGCAACCAGAGATGGCTATAAAGTGTTCCAAGGTGCTGAAAGGTAAATTGTTTTCTGTACTATTTTAAATATTCATCTGAAATGTGGCACAGGGAAATATTTGCTAAACAAAGGTAAATGTAAACCTAAATTCATCACTAGCAATGAAGTGATAGTACCTAAAGTTAACGAGTTTCAGTGTATCCTAAATTCAGAATACGTCCTGGCTCTCTGGAGCAGTAGGTAATCCTACAACCCTTTGGCGAGATCTCTACCCTGAGGAGCGAACAATCTTCCCAGGAAAATTCTCTATAGGCCAAGATATAGTTTGTAAAAACAGAGAGCCACTTGTTTGACATTTTGGAAAGCATGAAACCATTCTTAACTTTTAGCAGAGGGCTCTTTGGCAATTATATATCTTTACTGCTTCTTATTGGTCATAGCTAAAATTTAAATGTTCCCAATGATCTGATCCTGTAAGAAAAAATAAAATCATTGAAATAGTTTTTTCAAGAGCACCAGAGCAGCCTCCATGGGGCAAAGATGAAAGAAAAATGACTTCATTGTTCTTTATTTCTTTTTCTTTTTGAGACGGTGTTTCACTCTTGTTGTCCAGGCTGGAGTGCAATGGCACGATCTCCATTCACTGCAATTTCCATGTCCCAGGTTCAAGCAATTCTCCTGCCTTAGCCTCCCTAATTGCTGGGATTACAGGCACCCACCACAACGACAGGCTAATTTTTTTTTTTTTTTTTTTTTTTTTTTAAGTAGAGATAGCATTTCACTATGTTGGCCAGGCTGGTCTCAAACTTCAGACCTCAGGTGATCCACCCACCTCAGCCTCCCAAAGTGCTGGGATTACAGGCCTGAGCCACCATGCAAAGCCATTGTTCTTTATTTCTATAGGCTAGGCATTCAGGTAAATATTCAAAAAATGAAGAAATAATAACAGAAACAGACTTTCTCCCTGATCTCAGAGTTCAGAGTGGAAAACACCAATATATAAACAACTGTCAGCAACGCAATGCACATAGTTCTGAGTCCTAGGAACCTCATGAAAGAAATGGAAAGAATTCTGCTGAGTGGGAGGGGATTAGGCTGCCCTCTGTGGGAGAAAGGTGAATATGAAAAGGTTTCGAAAAGCAACTGAGAAATATAGTAGATTGAAACTGATTCATGATGGTATATGTGCTATAATATAAAACACATTTTGGGCCAGGTGAGGTGACTCACGCCTGTAATCCCAGCACTTTGGGAGTCCAAGGCAGGCGGATCACCTGAGACCAAGAGTTCGAGACCAGCCTGGCCAACATGGTGAACTCCCATCTCTCCTAAAAATACAAAAGAATTAGCTGAGTTTCTACTAAAAATACAAAATTAGCCGGGCGTGGTCACACATGCCTCTAATCCTAGCTACTCAGGAGGCTGCGGCAGGAGAATCACTTGAATCCAGGAGGCAGAGGTTTTGGTGAGCTGAGATCATGCCATTGCACTCCAGCCTGGGCAACAAGAGTGAAACTCTGTCTTTAAAAGCATATATATATATATATTTGGTTTTTGTCCCAGGTTCCCATTATAGCGCTCCTAAAACCTTTAGAATTTCCTGAGTGATAGGAATGACTTTTGTTATTCAAAATTAGCCCCTCTCATAATTCCTGAGTCTATGCTAACTAATGTAGTTATCTACAGTGGGACCACTAGATAGTCCATTCACCAGAAATGGAGTCAGGCACCAGAAAGACCAGTTGATTAGAGGTTTGGAATTTTCAGCCCTACCTACCAATCTAATGGGAAGGAAGGGGAAGGCTGGGATTAAATGCTATAAAAACTCTTGAATAACAACATTTGATGAACTTCCTGGTTACTGAACATGTGGAGGTGGCTAGAGAGGGAAGCTCCACGTGCCCCCATAACTTTCCTTTTCCATCACCTCATCTGGATGTTCATCTCTATCTTTTGTAATACTCTTTTTTTTTTGAGACAGTTTCGCTCTTGTCACCCAGGCTAGAGTGCAATGGCTCAATCTCGGCTCACTGCAACCTCCGCCTCCTGGGTTCAAGTGATTCTCATGCCTCAGCCTCCCAAGTACCTATGATTACAGGTGCCTGCCACCACGCCCGGTTAATTTTTGTATTTTTAATAGAGATGGGGTTTCACCACATTGGCTAGACTGGCCTTGAACTCCTGACTTCAGGTGATCCACCTGCCTTAGCCTCCCAAAGTGCTGGGATTACAGGCGTGAGCCATCGCACCCGACCTCTTTTGTAATATTCTTTCTAGTAAAACAGTAAATGTGTTTCTCTGAGTTATGCGAGGCATCTCAACAAATTATTGATGAGAACTCTGGTTTGTGGCTGGTCAGTCAGAAGTACAGAAAATAACCTACTACTTATGATATTTGGAGTGGGGGTAATTTGGTGGGGCTAAGCCCTCAACTAATGGAATCTGACATTATCTCCAAGTAGATAGCATCAGAATTGAAGTTAATTATAGGATACCCAGTTGGTGTCCACTGAAGATTGCTTGGTGTGTGAGAGTAGAGAGAAAAAATGGTTTTTCCAGCTGGGCACAGTGGCTCACACCTGTAATCCCAATGCTTTGGGAAGCTGAGATGGACAGATCAGTTGAGTTCAGGAGACTGAGACCAGCCTGAACAACATGGTGAAACCCCATCTCTACTAAAAATACAAAAATTAGCCAGGTACCTGTAGCCCCAGCTCTTCGGGAGGCTGATTCAGGATAATCGCTTGAACCCGGGAAGAAGAGGCAACAGTGAGCCAAGATCACGCCACTAAATTCCAGCCTGGGAGACAGTGAGACTCCTTACAGATAGCGGTAACGGCCAAAACAAGATCCACAGCAAGATCACAGTTGATCTGAATCAGGGGTGCTCAATGGTGAAGGCTGTCTGCTCTGGGAGCAAACTACCCCAGCCAATTCTCCTTGTGCTAGTTGTGTCTTTAGGTAAGTTACCTCATCTTGCCAGCCCCCGCCTTTTTTTTTTTTTTTTTTTTTGAGTCGGAGTCTCGCTCTGTCACCCAGGCTGGAATGCAGTGGTGAGTTCTCGACTCACTGAAACCTTTGCCACCCGGGTTCAAGCGATTCTCGTGCCTCAGCCTCCCAAGTAGCTAGGATTACAGGCGTGTGCCACCACGCTGGGCTAATTTGTATTTTTAGTAGGGACAAGATTTCACTATGTTGGCCAGGCAGGT